CCCTTGAAAATGAAATGGGTTTCAGCGGTGGCAAATAGGAAAAGTCTTTTCAGGTCAGAAGTGCTTAGTTTGATGCCAGGGTTGCCTTTGGTAATGTAGTCGACCGCTAGGTCTATACATTCACTCAAAGGAATGTTGGTAAACAAACTTTCCACATCAAACGAAACCATAAACTTCCCCTCCATTGACAAGCCGTTAATTTCACGAACAAAAGTGAACGTGTCTGAAGCAACATATTCAGAGGGAATGTGCGGCTGGAGAAGATTACTCAAAAATTTGGCCAGGTTGTAATTGTATGTCCCAATGGAAGAGAAAATCGGACGAAAAGGAGGTGCAGAGTTGGCTGCCCGCGGTTTGTGCATCTTGGGTAGGCCGTATATCCTAGCAGGTTGTGACCCACTCGGATATATAGCATCATATACCTCTTGATCTAAATGGCCCTTTAATCTTTAAATCCCTGAGAAAACGCTGTAATTTCCCTTCCCGATTTAGGGTGGGGTCATTGCTAAGGGGTTTAAACTTAAATATATCATTGATTATTTTTAAAATACCTCTATCATACGCAGTTCTATCTAAAACTACTATGACGGTTCCTTTGTCTGGTTGCAAAATTACAATGTCCTTGTTCTTTCGTAAGTTTTTGAGAATTCCGTGCGTTTTGAGGTCAGCCGTTGTGGGACGATATGCGGAGACGTAAGTGTGAGTCAGGTGAGACAGTTCCGTAACTAGTTTTCCAGTGTCCTTGCTGTCTTTGAGATTTCTGATCATTCTTTGACTACTCAGTTCAAAGCACGTGAAGATGTCAGTCTTGTTAATCGATGGTGGACAAATTGAGTGTGTCAGTCCAAATTTGCGGTGAGAACAAACGAAGACAGGTTTGTAACAACTTCGCTTGAAGTGAAAGGCAGAACAGAATTCCTTGTGAGGTTTTTTAGCTTCTTCTCGTGAGTCTTGATGAACTGATTTGCCGCTTTAGCTACACTGTGAGCAACAGCCTTACGTAATATGTAGCTATCCAGACTGTTTAAGACGCTGGAGATTCTGGTCATCAAGTTGTTTCTCTTGCAAAGTAACTTACGATACTCCTTAAATCGTCTGTTGATGGCGCTTTTCAAAAGATGTTTCTTAATTGCCAATACGTCTTGTCGGGCGGTGTTTGAAGGTAGGTGAAAACAAAGAAACTTCGGGTAAACATTGAGCGACTTGCAGTTTCGCAGGAACGCTAAATCCAGTTCCGACTTTCGTTTCTTTATCGAGATCTTCTCGAGTTTGCGGAGGTCAGAGGGGCTGATCCTTCCATCATACTTGGCTGCGATGTTGTAGATTATTGCTCCAAAAGGTCGAGACAGCAGCAAAAATGTAGAAATTTTCAAAAATAATGCGACTTTTTTAATTTTCACAAACATGTAATGCTTGTTACGTTGGCGAAACAAGCCGACATTTCTCCACGCGCGTGCACGAGCACTTATCATCGGACAGATCTTCTCACGTTTATAAGCATTTGCAGGCTTCAGAGTCGTGCCGTACCTCTTGTAACTTAGACTACTTCAAGATCTTAGACTCTGCACCTACCAAGTACCAAGTTAAGCTTAAGGAGTCTATGTACATCAAGTGGGAAAAGCCTGACCTTAATCAATAGGTCAAACACATCAATTTGACGCTTTCCTTATAGCTGCACGCGCACGCGCATCTTTTTATTTCCGTGAACTTCGAAATTTATCTAGCGTATTGTTTTCCNAAACTTTATTATAATGCTTGTTACGTTGGCGAAACAAGCCGACATTTCTCCACGCGCGTGCACGAGCACTTGTCATCGAACAGATCTTCTCACGTTTATAAGCATTTGCAGGCTTCAGAGACGTCGTGCCGTACCTCTTGTAACTTAGACTGCTTCAAGATCTTAGACTCTGCACCTACCAAGTACCAAGTTAAGCTTTAGGTTTCTATGTACATCAAGTGGGAAAAGCCTGACCTTAATCAACAGGTCAAACACATCAATTTGACGCTTTCCCTATAGCTGCACGCGCACGCGCATCTTTTCATTTCCGTTAACTTCGAAATTTATCTAGCGTATTGTTTTGCAACGCAATGTAACGTATGATTTGTAACAGGCACGTTTTAAATCACTGTAAACTTTCATAACCGTCACACTGACGATGACGGATGCACCGTCGAAACATGTTTGTGAAAATTAAAAAAGTCGTATTATTTTTCAAAAGTTCGATGTAAGTTTTCACACAAACATATTACAAGCTTAGCTGAAAATATGTGAATACAGCAGAAATAATCAGCAAAGCTACGGTGACACTTTCTTTAATCAATTCGAATAACGATTTCGATTTTGTTGGTTGAGTTAGCAAACTCCTTGTCTATTTTATTTTCGCAGTGTAAAATTTCACCATGTTAAAGAAACACATATGATGTTAGCAGCCTTTTGGCGTTGGGGAAAATTGTTGCAACACCTCAGCTCAAAACACAACGAAGGAAATCTTTGTTAAGATTTGTTGACAATTGAAAACACCGACTTGGACTTGAAAGTACACGCGCTGCACTATGCAAATGAGCTACTTATGTACGCGTCAGACTTTCCTTTCATAAACTTTTGCAAACTCGCCAAACAAACAGAAACAATAAGAAACTATCAAAAACAGGGTTTGGTTATGATTAAGCATTGTTTGGGAAACTCACAAATTAACTCGATACTAGAGTAAAGAGTTTTCTTACATAACTTTCCTCTACAGAACAAACGCAAAGTCTTACTCGTACAACTAGCGCGAGCAGATATCATTCATTCACAGCGCGAAATTGAAGTCTTGTTTACGACGCTGAAAAAATCACCTTTTCCGTTAGCTGAGAGCATAAAGCTACATATAAGAGCCCTGGTTCTTATTCCCTGCCTTATTCCCTGCTATCGCTGTGAAAAATCTGCAAGAGAATATCGCCTCTCTCACCATTTGATCAGGCAACGTGACAACATCCACGCGAGGGCCCCCGACATGTGCGTGGATCCGCGCGGATATATGACGTCAGGATGGCGCAATTTGTTCTAAAAATAGAAAAATTGTCCCATATCATAGGTGCGCGCGGATCCCAGAACTTACGGTCTCCGTCCCCGATTATGGCTCCTGATGATAACTGATATCGATGCACTATGTAACTCAGTCTACGATCACGGAGGGCCTTCAAAGCACATAAGGAGGGTTTTTTCAACTGCAGTTTAGGGGAAAAGCGCTAACGTGTACAGGCGTTATGTTTTTCGCGCTCTTCGGCTCTCGCTCGCCTCGCTTTCGCCTCTGTTCGCCTAAAATACGCAAAAAAAAAAAAAAATTACGCCTGTTCTGCGGGCTACAGACCGTACTACTGGTATTAATTTTATGCGAAAGCTCATCCAAGGTAAAACAATTACTCAAAAGCTATGTTAATTTTGAAGTAGGGGAATTTGTTACCTGTAACTGAGTTTCGACTTCCTGTGACTCGGGTCAGTGATTAGTACTGTCATGCAAAAGATTAAAAACATTTTTGTCCCCGTCAAAGCAGGGCAGCATTCAACAACATGGCAGATTCAGCTGTGCGTTTCCTGTTGCTATCGACAACACTTGGGACTCTTCTACGTACGCCAAAGATACAGGCACAGAGTACAAGTAAGTAATAAAAAAGCCGATAGCGAGTCAAACTTGACAGATCGACACTTAAAATTAAAAATTCGCGGCAGACATTCGTCTGTTCTGAGTCCTCCGGGTCGTATGACATTTCGTCAGTTTTCTTCCTCCGAAATAGCACAGAATTTGGAAAGGATTTTGAAAAACGGCTTCAAATAGCGATTTTGGATTATGTGTTTCAAATGATAAGTGATTATGGATGCAGTTTTAAGCTGAACGCAACGAATTTTTTCACCGATTTCCGGGTCGGAATGACGTTGCTCAGGTTTCAAGGCGCTTGTCGAATGCTGCTACATTTACTTCCGCCCCGTTTACCATCGTATCTTAGCAGTTTGAAGATCATTTCGCCGCGTTTTATTTTGTCGTAACACAGCAGGCTTACATGCGTCTTTATGTGTGGGTTTAATGCGAACAAGCTTTCACTGTGTAGCTAGTTCAATTCGAGCTACCAAATGATCAAGGGATTATAAAATATGCTTGCCCTAGGCAGTTTATTTGCCTCCGTCACTATAGCAGTGTAGACCTCACAGCCACAGAGCAGGTTAGCTGGCGTATTCTTTTAACTTTTAAATCTTTCAATGCAAGTCATTAAACCAACGTTTGTAAAAACAGCGCATGTATGGACCGGTATGTTGAGGAATGTTATGAAATATGCAATCTCCTTGCGAGACCATTGATGAGATGTAATACTACTCCCCATACTATAAACTACTACTATTCAGTTACAGTCAACGTAGGATGATTATTGATGATCGCTGTGGACAACAACAAAAAGCTTTATTTGCATGGCCATAAATCGTTTATACAGTCGATCTTACGTCGGTTAAACGGTCGAGTCAAAACTGATTGGCTAAGCACGCAAAAGCATACGGGCTATGATCGTAAAAATGCGAAGAATTAAACAACAAGATCCACGACTGAACAACACAAAAAAGAAAAACGCAAAACGGTTGATAGTCTCGCATACCGATCAAAACCAGGATATGCCGGTTGCGCTAACTGCGTGTTTATCAGTGGAACAATCAGTAGCGTTCCTTATTCATGACTAACTGATAATTGGTAACTCTTCAAATTCGCGATTTTATTAAGAGGCATTACTAATCGATGAAAATTTGTACAATGGAACAAATGAGATGTGTCTCTTTAAATGTTGAGACCACAAACAGTTTCAACGTCTGCCACTTGGACATTTTGACGTATCTAGCATAGCTACCTAGATTTGGTAAGACTACTGTCGGATTAATTATGAATTATTACAGAAATATAACTGTCCCACTGTTATAACGTTGCCGACACAGTCTAATTTTTATCTGCGCAGGTCACTGGCAATGGGCATCGTCGTAAAATATGTGTTCGTTTCGAATTCATCCTGCGAATAAGCATTTTGTCATTTTCACTGGCAAGTGGCTGAAAATTAAAGTTATTTGCCTTTCTTAGCTTTGAGCTTGCTCCTTTTAAAAAGTTCTTTTTATAAAAAAAAAGTAAAGATATTTAAAAAAGTATATATCCGTGAAGACAATATTGTCCTCTCTTACTTCTCAACGCAAGAAAATAATGAGAGCTGAACTGAACATCTTGGGCAGGTTGTTCGAAAGCCGATTAGTAATAATTAGAATTTGATCAATGTGATTCTCATAGCTAATATCAGTGAGGGCAGTTAAAAAATATGATTTTTACGCCACCACCCACTAGTCGAGGATTAGCTTAATCGTGCTTTGAAGCACATGGCCCAGGAATGGGAGAAAGACCGTAGGCAACGTCCATCCCGTTGTCGATCATTTGAGTAACTCTCATCACCTTTCAAATTGACGATGACCTGACTTTATAAGGAGAAACTGGAAATAAAATAAAACCGTTCGGAATTTTCAAGCGTCCGAAATATTTTCAGTACATGTTCAGTCTCGGTTCGTAGAAAACTTTGAAGTAGCTCCAAAACTCGTATTTCCATTTATGCCCGTTTTATAGAGCGAACTCTAGTTGAGACACTGCTTGACAGAATTTGTGTTATTTTCTCGTCGGTGTATTCGTAAAACCTTGAAGGTGCAGTAAAATTTTAATTCAACATCTTAAAACTCTTTCTTCGAGGTGTTTTAACAATTTCTACGTCACCGTTTTCCGTGTCCCCATCAAGTTCTCTGGCGACGTCACAGACATCAGCTTTCCCTTCAAGGTTCAAGTCATCCCTTGCTGGCCATTCATCGTCCGTCTTGGCAAACGTCTCGTCAACACACTCCGTTGGAAGGGATACCGTCACATCGCAGGCGACCGCTGCGGACACCGTTGCTCCTACTACTACGTCGCAGCAGCTGATAAGCAGTACGCCAGTGTCACCAAGCCAGTCTGTTACCTCCTCACCCACGACCAAAGGTAGGAACAACCATGTCAATCGAGCAATTTCGTTACCGAGACAGTAACGGGACGTGACACTGTACTCAAAAGTTTCAGTAGGAATTGAACGTGACAAGAAAGTCGATTATTTAGCGGACTTTTCGGGCGTAGCCCTTCTACTGACAGTGCTAAGTTATTAATGGGATACGTACGTACATCGGAGACATAAAGCAGGCGTGACTGTAACGGATAAGGTAAATCATTTATAGACTTAAACAACTTGAAGCGCGCGCTTCAAGTTGTTTAAGTTTATAAATTCACCTTGTTTTTCCGGCACTAGAGGACCTGACTGTTTATTTAATTTTCGTCTTAAATGATCAAAATCTAACATCACGATGAAAATTAAACCAGGTACGACCCATTTGTTAACAAATGAGAAACAGCAGCAAATTGTTTTGAACAACTTATTCGTGTTTTCTTGGGTGTAAGGTGAACTCGAAACAGAAAATAAGCTCACAAAAGTAACTTCGCCACACGTACGTAAAGCAACTCGTCTGCCTCAAACTCACAGACTTAACTACATATATGTACTGCTTCAGCGTTTTGGTCCTGTTTGCGGCAAAACTCAGTTCTGGAAACATCTAGTTTTTCAATTATCTAGACTCAAGGTTATTGCCCTAGAAAGATTCGGGAGGCTGGACAGTGGTTGGAAACTTAGTCAAGCTAACGTTATAATTTAATTCAGATAGCATGCCATAGAAAATACAACCAATCAGAATACAGGAAAGCCATTGTATATTCCACGGTATGACATCCAACCTTCCCATCATGCGCCTCGCGAATGTCGCATTGATCGTGTCGGCCAGCCGTCGGCCACTGTACTCTCTATGACATGTATACACACTCGCCTAAAGGCTCGCGTGTTTATCAACAAAATACAAGTGACTCGTAGGTTATTCCATGTTATAGCACTCGAAAGTGTTGCATAACTAGTACGTTAGTCATTTATATATTCGTTCCTTCCTTATTTCTTATCGTATTGTCTTCAGCCAATCGTATTGTTCCTTTCTTCTCAGATTCAAAACCAGATGAAGACGATAAAGAAAGCTTCACCATAACAGAGTACATCTTAATTGGTTGCCTTGGCTCGTTTGGTTTCGTTTTGATGGCCATCATTTATCTTGTCGTTCAGATAAAACGCCTGAATAAATCTGTACACAATTTGAAAGCCACAAGCAACCGCTAAACGCTAAAATAACAACATAAAAAACAGCAACACGAACAAAGTTCACCGTAATTTCTTTTACTTACTCAGTGTAAGGCATGATCAGTGTGAGTTAGTTATACATATAGGGAATTTTGCGTCAAGTAAATCGTTTCGTCAAGCTGTTCAACCAAATTATAATTTAAATCTGTATATTCTTACTATTACAGCGCATAACGAAAAATTATTCACCTTATAATAATCACTTTATAACGAAATCATACAAGGATTTGTCGGCCGAGTAATATGGACAACGTTTTGTCCGCACACAACGTTGTATGGCAACTCAAAGGGCGGTGTTGTCGTCGAACGTTTTAGAAACAAGTTGCAAGAGGACTGCAAGAGTTCAAGATTAGTCAGTTAATAGAGAATGGTTGAATTTAACTATGGTTCAACTTTGTGCAAAATGTTGTCCGCATTGTTTGGCCCTAACAAAACCGTGAAAAAATGTCCCGACTTACATAGGTTGGTCACTAGGAACATAACCGACCTACTTGACTAACAATAGACGGATCGAAACCCACCAATGACTGATGACAAACTTTACACGAGTCTTTCAGCCAATACCATCATGGCTA